ATCGGGACGTTTTCTTTCCGCATTCAAATTTGCTCCCGAATGTCTAAAATTTCTGGTTGAATGGTTCGCATTTCGGAAACGTTTCCGGAAGTCTGGGAACTTTTCCGGGAAAATACTGTACTAATTGCCGCTGTTTCCAAAGTTTCTTAAGTTTTGGGTGAATGGAAAGTGCCCAAAATGCATCTAAGAAATTTTGGTTCTGAGAGAATCGTCTGCACGTACTACGATGTGCAAAAAAGTGTGCTGCACGTGCAAATTAGACCTTTTGACCTTAGCATTACTTATAACCAGCCCCGGGTAACTAGCGGCTATGAGCAATTTGCGTGGGTGTTTGGCACGTTTGATAAGATTACACTGAGATTTGCTATGAATATGCTATTTTGGTTTTGTCCGGGTATGGGGCATTTGGCACACTTCTATTAAGCGTCCCCCACTCCCCGCGGTTTTTTTTAGGTCGTCGTGTTCTAGGTCGTCGTTTTCTAGGTCGTTGTTTTCTAGGTCGTTGTTTTCTAGGTCGTCGTTTTCTAGGTCGTTGTTTTCTAGGTCGTTGTTTTCTAGGTCGTCGTTTTCTAGGTCGTAGGTCTTCGTTTTCTAGGTCGTCGTTTTCTAGACACCCTCTCTCTAAAGCCTTTTAGTAAAGTTACTAGTCCATTTAATACTTCTAACTAGAGATACGTGTCTAGCAGAACCGAAATAATAAGACTGAAAGGCCAACAGTGGCAAATGAAGTAGCTGAGTCTCACGTCAAATAGAGTGAGTGAAAATATTATGCCCTCGGGGGTATTCCTATGTAATGGCCTTTTCGGGGAAATACGTCCGAAAGGGGTACCTTTTTCGGGCTTCAGGTATGCAGGAAAGGGTAGGGATTTCAATACTAATGAAAAACAAAAAATCCGTCTGTAAAAAGGGCTAACAAATGCAATGTTTTTGGCGAAAAAGTTCTGGTTTTGTAATTTTTGTGACGGTGTATTTACCGCAGTTTAAATTAAAGAGATAGTCGGTTTCAGGAGCCTATCAAATCCATTTGATGGGCTCCTGTCGGTTTACAATAACACGAAGAGAGTGGCAGGGGTCACACAAACAACTGCCAAAAAAACCCGACTGCATCGATGAATTCACACCAAAAAACCAAGGAATTCATAAAAGGTAAGTCTCCTTTATTTATTTCATAGAAAAAAAAGTAAAAAATAATGATATTTAGCGTTCGCAGACCTCAGTATTTTATTTCCCATACTAAGTCTGAACGGCAGCTTGTAACGCGACACCGACAGCCTCGTGAGAAAGTAAATTTACATTACAAACTCGCAACGTGAGCTTGGGTAGCTTCCCCGCAGACGTCCTTTGGGCTTCGTTCGTCACGCATTCATTTCTTCCCCACGGACGTCCGTTGGGGAGAAATGAATGCGTGACGAACGAACTCCAAAGGACGTCTGCGGGGAGGCTAGGGCTTGGGACGCCTGTGGTTGAACCTCTCCTCAATGGCCACCTTGGAGGCAGAAAAAAGCGTCCGTTGTTGAGAAGTGGCCGTTAGTGGAGGTTCGACTGTAGGGTAAAGGGTTAGACCTTGGGGGGGGGGGGGCCTCCACGTAAAAATAAAACTTTCTTGCGTACCCCTGCAGGCAGGCCCTATGGTCTTATTCTCAATTCCTATCACTTGGAATTCCCTTTGTTCAATAAGGATTGGACTCCCTTGAGGAGAAATCGATGAAAGATTCTGTATATTGAGGTAGGAGAGCTCCTGCATGAGGCCGGTTAACTACTGTTGATAATCCGGTCCATTAGAGACAAGAATAGAAAGGAAGGAAGAAAGTTGAAAAGAGTGGTCGGTTACAAATGTAATGAAAAACGCTTAATCATTCAAACAAACGTCTCCAGGCTACACGGCTCTCGCGTAGTGTTATTTATTTTCTAGTGTTACGTAGTTTGGAACTTTCTTGTCCCTCATAATCATGGGAGTGACGATCGGTCTTATTTAACCGCGGTCATCCAGACCCTGAGATGGGGGGGGGGGGGGGGGGGGGGGAGTCCCGGTCTCAAAAAAATTTTTTTTCGGCCCTTCGGGTCTCACTTTGGTCTAAAAGTAAAGGGTGCCCCGGCCCCCCCGGGTGCCTCCCCTGGATCTGCCACTGAGGGTTGTTGTACACTAGCGACAAATCCCTACGGGTTTGAGCACAAATGCGCAAGAAACCTTTCTGTGCAAGCGGTGTTGACCACATCTGCGCTTTTAGCTTTTATTGCCTTAGCAAATTGAGCACAACAACCATATTTATTTCGGACGATTCAATCAATGCAAACCACACTACCATCTCAAAGATGCTATAAGAATGATTTTTATTATCTTGATAATCTTAAACCTCCCTTTCAATTAACGATAGAAGACGTTAAGACAACTGGTCACATTCTACTAAAATAGACGAAAACAACTGATTCAAATTTTACAGTGAAAGCTTTGCAAGTCCCAACCCTCACCATAGTTGTATTTTTTTTAGCTTATATGTTTTCCGCTATTTTTTCCACATTTATTCTTTAAGATTCCACGTCCTCTTCGCTAAGTGCTGTGGAAAAAAAACAACAACAAGGAAATGGTTAGTAAAACAACAAGAGTGGCCTGCGTGCAGACGTTCCCTGCTTCCTCAAAAACTGGGGTGTCTTCTGTTCGTGTTGCGGATTTATTGATGGTTCGCTTTTGTTTTTTGGAGTGGAACATTGTTCAAGGTCTTTTCAGTCTTTTGTATTATTTATGTCAATTGGAGACCGTACCAGTCTAGAACACCAACATTAAAAAAAAAAAAAAAAAAAAAAACAAAAAAAAAAACGGGACAGTAGTCAACCTGTGGTTACCGTGTTTGATTATGTACATGACTAAGTCCAAGGCAGGAAAGGCTGGACCTGCGTCACAGACGGAAATACAGATCTTGTTAAGTCCGTCTGCGAAACAGTGTCGAAATCCTTGTTCTGGGCCCCCACCTGTGTACCAGGATTTGAGTACGCGCTGTGATTGGCCAGTTTAAAATGCTATTGAAAATTTGCCATTGAAGGGAAAACTCGAAACGCATTTCCGGTAATTCGTTGAGTCCGTTGGGGGGCGAGAACAAGGATATCAGCGCTGCTTCGCAGAAGTTACCAACCGGGGTTAGATTACGTCTGCGACGCAGGCTAGGCCCGGACGGGTATGATCAATTTAGATTTCCGGGAAACTGACCACCTACCCCTCCCCTAAGCCAACATTTTCACTTGCTTCTCACTTAGGGCAAAATGTTGGCTTAGGGGAGGGGTAGGTGGTCACTTTCCCACTAACCTAAATTGATCCGACGGGTATAAGAACGAACTAACGAAGAAAAGTCAAGAAAGAACGACTAAAAGGCTGTATGATTAGATGGAAGATTATAAACATATTTACTTGGTTCTTTTTCTTTTAGCTGTATAGTTCTGGGGCGACTGTTAATTTTTGTTCTTATTTCTTACAGCCCGCCTCGATTAGCTATGCTTAACTGTGCGTTGTCAATGTTTGAAATATTGTCCTTTTAAAAACGAAATAAAATGTTGTTGTTGTTCTGTCATATGTGAGTGCAGGTGACAGTTACATTCACAACAAAATAGACTAGGGATACAAGAAGAGGCTGATATGATCGACTTACTCCGTAGTCTAGCGCATGTGCACTTACCACGCACAATAGGTGGGAAACACGTGCTCCATTCTTTTTTGCTGATTCCGGGTTTATGGTCGTAGTCACATGACTTCAAAAAGCCCATCATGCAGTCTTCTTCCGGGATAATCATTCTCCCAATCTCGTCTTCGTCCAGTATACCATCCCCGTTTGTATCCCGGTTATTAAACTCCCACTAAAATAAAAACATTGAACCCGGTTACGCAATACTGATACTGGATATGAAAACCTTGGACGTACTTCCTTTTAACGTAGCATAGCCGGGTTCATAGGATGAATTTAAAGTGTTTAAAGTGTGATTAGAAATAACGTCTCGTAAAAATCACCACTCCTCCATCCAAAAAAAGGGCCAAGTGATCATTCATGGGTAGCCTGTGAGCAGGCTCTCCATTTGGTGGATATCGAGTTCGCGCGGCTCGTCTAGCTATCACCACGGAGAGCAGGGGCGGATCTAGGGGGAGGGTGCAGGGAGTGCGCACCCCACCCCCGCTAAAATGAACTGCGGCTTTCTAATACAACTGGCATTCTGCAAAAAAAAAAAAACTTTGTGGTTTATTGGTATTGAAGCAGAGCAAGAGAAGAGTGCAACCCCTCCCACAAAAAATCCTTGATCCGTCCCTGGAGAGCTTGCTCGCAGGCTATCATCGTGGGTCCAGGACTTACCCCGTTCAGTTGACAAAACTGACCGAGAAACAACGCTTGATCAAATGTCTTATTTCATGCTCTACTCACGCAACATCGCGTGTCCAACTCTGACTGAAACTGTTGAACGCAACATTGTAAGGAGCAACACCGACGAAGAAAGATAAAATATTATAATCGTAGGTGGATAAAAGCACTGATTTTGTGAAGGCCAAAAAAACTGGCTCCTACTGATAACAAGTTCAGGCAGAAGTTTTGTACAGAAAAGCAACTGCAAGTTGATAGGCAGAGGGACGGACGCTAGAGGAAAAAGGGATCAAATTTACCGCAATAATTTCCTCCCGGTCCTCGTATGCCCAAGTCTCAACCTGGAAATCTGGGTACATTTCCTGCTCTCTTGCAGCTATGAGGTACGCAAGGTATCGATCGTGAAATTGGAGAAGGCGTGAGACTGAGCATGGCGCCAATTCAGTGTCTGCCAAAAAATATGAAAATAAAATATAATTATGAATTAAAATAAAATGATCGATTTCCATCATTTGTTAGCTAGCACTTCTACTTTTATAGATGAATACTATACAACCCACTCCAGCGTGTTTTGATTGACGTGACAATCATAGTACCAACCAAATTCTCAATGATAAGCGAGCGAGTTATAATCTCATATTTTAAATTTAATGATTACAGGCTACCATAGCAACGTCATAACCTATAACAGCCTTAATTTTAGCATCCAACGCTTGTAACTAAAAGAAAGTTCGGCAACTTCAATTTTCTAATTATTGACCTGTAATCGGCAGTGAAGAATCTCTATCTAGTGGGTTGAGAATAGACTGCTCACAGTCAATTATCAAAGTCTATCAACGAGCCACTTTAAATTAAAGTTTCGTATATTCTGAACCGGTTGCTTCCCAATAATAAACGTGGTGTTCACAGATCTCGTTTCTAAGTTATAAGCACTTGAAATGATAATAAAGGTTATGCTGCCCCGTTGGAGTAGGGGGCTCAGAGTGAAGAGGCTGTCTTTGCAGCTGACTTCAGGACTACAGTTAATACGGACACTGAGAGGATATACCATAGCGTCCGTATTTATGATTCGGGTGTCCGTATTAAGCGGGCTGTCAGAAAAACGTGACAGACACCTGATTTATTGATCTTAAAGAGGAAAGAGAACGGTAGGACAAGGAAGCAGGTCGCACTATTTTGCTAAAGTTTTAAGTTATAAAGTCGTATAAACTTACAGAAATCTGTCATCGTTTTAAAAATGAGTATAATGTCCACAATTAGCTCATGATTGTGACAATGAAAATACTGCAGTGCGCAGTTAAACCAGTGTACGTAAAGAGGGGTTGACGATATATGAGAGTTTGTAACTTGGGACACAGAAAAGTGTCCATTGTCCGTTTTATGCGGGTTAATTTTAGAAAAAATATATGAGCTTTTAGTCGAGACAAACGAAACTATCTGTTATACACGGGTGTCTGTATTAAGTGGGTGTCCGCAGAGCGGGGTCCCACTGTAGTATACAGCTATTTCGAGAAGGGTTGTCAGAAAAAAGTGCCCGCGAAAATCCAGAAAGGTGTGGTGGGTGGTTTTCAGTTCACTGATGATTTTCAAAGAAATTTGAAAGAACGGCACGAGAGACCGTGGACGGTTTGTTGCGAGTGCTGAAGAAAAGCAACAAAAGTAGGTTCGATAGTTACAGTTTCAAGAAACAGCGTATTGATTATATCCTATATTACGTTTCGGGATTGTCACTTGCACTTTTTCCGACAACCTTTCTCGACACGCGGATCTTGTTTGCTAAATACACACCTTTTAAATCGCACTTTCCTGTCTTTTCGATTCCCATCATGATGCCAATTCGACAAGCGAACTTGTGCAGTTTGCAAGTGTTGTTGAATTCTCGGAGGTAGACGCTGCAGACAGGTTTGTAATCATCTGGGCACACTTCTGGGCACACACATGTCGTTGAACGATCCTTGTTTACAACACACATGCGGCCTTTGGTGCAAAACACGTTATAACAGGGGTCTGAAGAGTAAAAAATTTGAATGTCAAACCACTTCCGTCTATTTCTTTGTTCCAGGAACGGAACTTTAAATTTCAGAAGTCGTAACTGAGGCCGAGGTGATTCAAACAGAGCTTCAATGGTTTTTAACAAGCAGTGTTCTTAGCCCTTTTGGACAACCTCACATCTAAACATTGTTTGGTGTTAACAGCGTCAAGAAGACTTACAACTTGGACAAGAACACGTTTTATCTACTTGAAATAAACATCTTACAGGTAGATTTATGTCTATCCTAAGTTAGACTTCCTTTAGGTGGCAGGCCGCCTTGAACTGATATATATTTTGCACAATGCACCTACCCTTCTGTGTGGTGGTCGTCTGTGTCGCAGTCTTCATAGAAAGAAAAAAAGAAAAAGGCTTTAAGTAATAGAAAACAATTTATAAATCATAATACTTTTATTATTATGTCACTTATTATTTATTTCACTCAAAGCGAGGCGAACTGCAAAAAATAAAATTCGTTATTTGTTACGAAACCCTTTTCCTAAAAATGACGTCAATAGAACTGCGAAGACTACTAACCGAAAATCATACGGCGTTTCGGCGGATGTTCTCATGTGTCGGCCACAAAACTCATTTTTTATAAGGAAGCTAAGTTTTACACTTAGCCTCGTCTTGAAAGTGAGAGTTTAATTCTCTCCTGCGCCACTTTCCTGTTTATAAGATCGGGCATTACAGAGTTTGAAATTTGCCTCGCTGTTCTTCATTCATCTTCTTCCGGCTAAAATGTTAACACATACTATCAACAGAAACATCTTATAGCGGATAACTGAATGGTTTAGATTTTATTGGTTCTACAATCCGGAAATTATTTTTAAACATTAATTCGCCTATGAAATTTAGTCTCGCTGGTTAAGTCTTTTATAAGCTAAGCCTATAAGCTGAAATACTGTACCGGTTGTCGTTGAACGATGAAAAGGTCATTTATTAGTCCGCAACTCAACTCATGAAAAAAATCTGAAGGTTGGAGATTGATGAGACACCCGTCGAGGGGAAATGTTACACTGAACCGGTCAATGAACGAAAATCAAAGCGTAATTAAGTAAAGGTAAAAAGATGTTTGTAAATAACCTGCCGCCCATTTGACAAATTAACGACAGTCTCCTCCATGTGCTCCATGAAGGCCCCCCCCTTCCAAACCTCATGTATGGTTATGACACGTGGCTTACTGTAGTTTGCGGAACGAAATGGAGCGAAACGAGACGAAATGGAACGAAACGAAATGTTTCGTAGTTTGGCATAGTCCTTGCACCAACTATGAGAAAGTCGGTCAGATTGTACAGTAGAGGGTACTGGAGTATCACGCGAGCGAAGAATAGAAGTTTGTGTAGTAAAATAAACATCAAAAGCAAATATTTGCCCTTTCAATAAAATTCTCAATAGGCCATTGTTTACTTCTCACTGGAATTCGAAGAACATCCAAATATATGGCAGCAAATCTGAACAGAAACTGCTACGTTACAGATAAATACTTTGGTAATACACCTCAAATGAACCATAACGACCGTTTTGCCTGTGGTCGATGGGGCAGCAAAGAAATCTTCTTATTGTCATGTAAATGTGCTTTGAAGAAACCAAAACAACAGAATGTGCGCTGTCGTGTTGTCTGAAAAACTTACCGCAACTTGAAGAGAAAAGACTCCTACCAGCACAAAGAAAGCATGCATTGTGACAGCTCGACGTTTATCCGTTTCTACTGATGGTTTCGTCGTGGGTCGCTTTCGAGTTGCTTTCGAGTGCTAGTTAGGTTTCAGGACTCGGGTCTCGCTAATGAGCGAGTGTAGGAAGTTTGAAATTTTTGAAGAGGCTTCACGCCTTACGGCTTTTGTAATCCTGTGACCTTATTCTAAAAATGTCAGTCTTTTGTCATCGACCGGAAAGGGTCTGTCATAAAAATGGAATCCTGCAGCTTGGTGGTGTCAAAACAGGACTATGCGCGGTGGGGAGAGAGGGGGAGGGGGAGAGGGGAGAGGGAGAAAAGAAATGATACGAGGTCACGGTAAAATGAAGAATTGAGATAAATACGTTCATCCATTAGGAAAAAATAATCAAACAAACAAACCAAGCAACGCAAACAAATACAAAATTTTATGAACACTTCTCTTTTTCAAGCTTTGTGTCACCCTAGCACTGGCACTCTCAAATTTAGTAGACCCGGAAAGTTGGGCGGGGTCAGAATCTAAATAAGGTATCGCCGGAGGCACGTTACGCATTTTTCGATGTCCAGGGAGGACAGAGCATGCACGAATTCGTTTGGTTACTGGCCAAATTCGACAGGGAGATTTACCTCAGTAAAGTTTTAGGCGTGAATGGCATGCAACAGGCATTCAACGTTGGCGCTTTGCTGCCCCCGGCGATGAACTGGACTTGGCGTGTAGGTCAAGGTAATCAGCTCCACGGACAACATTAGATCACCATCATCTCACGCACGAATTAAACAAGTAAGTGTGTCATCGATTCAGTAAAAGAGCCAGTTTTGTGTGCTTATATAAATCGAGCGTGGATGGAGTGGACTTAATGGAGGCACTTTTCGATAGGATGTTTGCTCTTCCTATGATCATACAGTTATTTGTCATAGAGCTGTACGCTGTGAACGGACTTGCCTGCACAGGCTGGGCCCAAAGGAGTTATTTGTGGCCATGATTCTAGTAAAATTGTACAGCTGATAGTACGAATCGCCTTTACACCCTTTATTGTTAGCCTTCCTCTCTCTTCTTCTCGCTCCTCGCCGCTAGGACCCGGGCGCTAGAGACGCTTCGCCAGGAGAAAGAAACATCCCTGGCGCGGCCGACGACGGGTGTTTTCGCAGACTATTTATTGTAGAATCGTATATCAACTTGACCGATCAAATCGTTAAGCGATCATATTACATAAATCTTGTAATTCATTGTCCTTAATATTTCTCAATGCTCGGCAAGAAACGCATTTGAAAAGCAAAGCTTTACGAGCGAGCGAGACACGAACAAGTATGAGAAGAAAAAGAGACAAGCTTGTCTCTTTATATTATTATCTCTTATATTAGGCCAAGGTATTAGGCCTTGTTATTCGTCCTTAGTCATTGAGGTGCCTTCAGCGGTTTTCCGGAGCATTGGATAATATTTTGCCAGATTTGTAACACCTTTGAAATCTACAAAGGTCAGTCATTCTTGATCTACAGTGAACGAAGGCCATTCGCTCTATCAACTGTAAAATTTAACTGGATACAAGGCAACACATAATTCTTAGACTACGAGTAGTCCCCCACTTTTCCTCAGGGATAGTAGAGCGAGCGAACGCGAGCGGGCGTGAAAATCACCCCACGCGAGAAAAGGCGACAGGCGGCCGCGTGTCGCCTTTTCTCGCGTGGGGTGATTTTTACGCGCGCTCGCGTTTTCCTCGCTCTACTATCCCTGAGAAAAAATGGGGGACTACTCGTAGTCTACATAATTCTTTAACGATCTGTGACTTACTGACTTATCCAGAATAGCCACCAACTAACGCTTCAAACAAGTCTAATAAGTCTCTCGTCTTTCACATAGGCTCCTGTTCTCCCTAAAGGGGGGATAAGTTGGGGTAAGTACGCAGCGGCTGGAAAATGAAATTTACGTAAAATAAAATAATGAATACATCGATAACACGGCTCATACAAAATCAAAAGACTGATTATAACACATCCGTAACTCTATTTCAGTCATTTACGCAGCTCCGGTTGCATTATGCGCGACCAGGGCTCCTGGCGCGACAACATTTCTGAACCCTCCCCAACAAGGGGAAGGATCACATGACCAAGTTCAAAGAACGTCTGCGTGGGATGCTAGACAAAAATCAGATTAGTAAACTACAATGTATTTGCAAGAGAGAATGATCTATTGTCTCTTGGTATTTGATAACATCTTAGTTTTGAGAAACTTCTTCTAAAGAAAGTCAAAGACAAAAAAGAAGGGAAAAAACACTTGAGTCTGGTCTGCGTAGAGTTCTCCGCGATATTTAACAAATTTTTTCTTAGTCTGTTGCATTTCTCGCCTTTTTGCCTGTGAAGGTAGCTCTTTGTTTCTGTGTAAGAGATGTTATTCGATCCATTTGACCCTGGAAAAACCATGCATTTCTCTTCACTTTACACCTTACACTTTATATTTTATATGAGTTGACATTTGTCACTGGATTTTCTTGTATCAATCTTTGCATCACTCTCATCAACCTGAATGTGCTTCAACAATCTCTGCTCCCATTCACTCCTTTCCATGGCGCTGGAGTAATCCAAAAATGTTCGTCTTCGCAATGTCTTGGGTAAGTTTTTCTTGTCGACGTCATCAACACGGATCAGCAAAAGAGAAGAGTCTGCCATTTTTGTACAGCGGTACAAAGCTATTTCCAGTTCTTCACGGCAGAAATGACTGGCCAGGTAGTTTTGTGAAATAACAGCCAATACCTTCCTGCTATTATACACGCTGTCCGCCATGTTTTCAATGATTGCTTTCCCGACTACAAAGTCTCGGCTGTGAATGCAGTAGTTGATTTGCTTTCTTTCCAGCATTGGAGTGAGGCTGTCTCGTACCCAGGGATAGTCGAGGGTGCTGAAACTGACGAAGACGTCATATTGAAAGTCATCTGTCTCCAAGTGAGCTAAAACACAAAAATAAATGACTAATTAAGAAAATTGATAAAAAGAACGTAAACAAACAATACCAAAAACTAAATACCTCGAAAAATGATGTCACTCATTTTGGTTGTTCTTTATTCATCGGATATCACAACAATTTTATCGAAAGGTGAAGGACACAGGGAATTCTTGGTATAAATCGTTACATCTGTCTGCCTTTTGTTTAGCCTGCGAACCGCAGACGTATTTCCGGTTAATTTTCGGAGGGAGAGAAGCGACGACCGGAAATACGTCTGCGGTTCGCAGGCTACATTTTGTTCTGCTTTTGAAAATAGTTGATTTTCTTTGATAAATCCTAGATCAAAAGAATTCGAGATCACTGTTTAGTATTGATAATAACAACAAGATAAAAATAAATCTTACGTTTTCGATCTCTTTTTCTTTTGGTCCTTACTCTGTGAACGATTATGGCTGTTCCTAGAACCAAAAAAACCGCTGCACTCACCAGCAAATTTTCTATTAATGAAATGTTACCGTTCCTTCGCCGATGTGAAAAATCTGCTGTGATAAAAAATGACAAAAAGCTTGAGGAAATTGAGCTTTAAAATATATCTGGGTAAGTAAATAAACAACTTTTAACCGGGCTTAATTTTCTGTTTTGTTTGGTTGTTTGTGTTTCTTTACATTGATTTGGTGGGCAGTGTCGACTGCCAACGGCTCAGAGATGCCTTAATATTTGCATTAACATTTTCGAAATGGCAAAGTGAGGAAGACGACAGGGGATTGGAGCCTGGGAAGGCGGGAGGTGGGAGTTTGAAAGGGATGGGAAGCGGGAAAAATGGGGGGAAATTATCCAACAATGCATGAGATGTTGCAATCGACGAAAGGGTTGAAGGAAGGATAGCCTACGAGCAAGCTCTCCTGGGCTCTCTGGCGGCGGTGTGAAGAGAGATCTGTCGGCGGAGAGGTTGCTTACAGGCTAAATGGCAGGAGGACAAGAAAAAAAGGGCGGGATCTGGAAACGCAAGGTACGGAGGGGGGTTAGTAGTTTCGATCCCCCTGTCTCCACCCCATCCCTCCTTGCCAAAGTGTTTGAAGCATGATCTGTGTACTTACGCGGTTTCACAAGGCTTAGGAAAATCATGTCAGAAGCACTCCATCCTGGTGTAATAACTCTGCAGCGATACTTCCCCGTATCTCGTTCAGTTACTTTCTTTATCAGAAGGGAAAAATTTACTTTGGGCGTCAAATCCTCCTCATAATATACATAGTCCAATTTGTAATGTTCGTCTGTGTCCAGGTTCAGTTGTGACCCATTGAAATCCCATGAGATAACTGTAGTTACTTCTGTAGTAAACAGTCCCACGCATGTCAGGAGGGCTGGCTCGCCAGTGTATTTGGAGACCTTATTGACATGTGCGTGGGCAAGTGGTCGCAGTGGAACTTGTTCTGAAAATTAGTTAATGAGAAGTCAACCCGTTCTTTAAGGACAGAGAGGTTTATGAAGTTTCACAATCTTTGCCCGTCATTGCCAAACAAA